CCCAAGGCAGCACCCTCCAGGGAGAGGAGGTGGGCACAAACAGGGCTGAGGGACCTGCTCCAGCCACCAGCCAGGTGTCCTGGACTGATGAAGGCCAGTCCTGTTCCAAAGCAAGCGGAGGCACCACCTTCCAGCAGGAGGATTTGGCCAAGGAAAGCCCTGTCAGGGTCCTGCCCTGACAATTCCTCCGTGAGTGCAGAACAAGCACAAAGTCTAGCTAAAGTGGGAATGAGGTCAGGAGACAGCCTCCCACTAAGCTGATTAGAGGAAAGCATCCCCCTAATACAATAAACTGCGTCAGAGCTGTGCAGTTCCCACCCGCTGCAGATCAGAGTCAGCCGATCTCCGGCCCCATAGCACCCAGGAGGTGGAGGGACGGGAGATCAGGGCACCCATCCAGGGTCCCCACGGGTCGTGTGCCCTGCCTGCCCCACTCGCTGCACGGGCAGACCCCAGTACCAGACAGAAGGGGCAGTGGGAGCAACCACCTCCCATTTGGGGCTGGCATTGGGGCAGCCCTGGGGAGGAGAAGGGGAGCGAGACCCCCACGCCACGGCCCAGCTGTCCTGGCAGCTCAGTGCATGGGCTGGGCACGGGGCTGGAGCTGACGTGGCTACTGCCACTTGCCTGGCAAGCTCTCCCAACCCCAGCGCCCTGGTACATGGCTGATAAGGAGCCGCACCCTAACGACCGGTCCAGATTTGCTCTTGCACTCTTGTCCTTGCAGCAATGACAGCCCTGGGCTCAGGCTGCTCTCTGCCCTCGCCATGTGATGCCCATAACTGCTGCTGGCCGCCACTGGTGCGGACAAGTGGAGCAGGTTGACCTCCCTCCTCAGGGCTCCCCTGCCCACACCCCTCCTGAGGGTCCCTGTGGGGCCAGGGCACGGGCGCTGGGGTCCCTGGCCCCAAAGGGCTCATCAGTCTCTCCTCCCCCAGTGCCGAGTACCCTGACCTGCGGAAGCACAACAACTGCATGGCCAGCAGCCTGACGCCGGCTATCTATGCCAGGCTCTGCGACAAAGCAACCCCGAACGGCTGGACCTTGGACCAGTGCATCCAGACGGGTGTCGACAACCCCGGCCACCCCTTTATCAAGACTGTAGGCATGGTTGCTGGTGATGAAGAAACCTATGAGGTGAGTGGCAGCCAGAGCCCCGCCATGCTCCAGTCTCTCCAGGGTGCCTGTGGCAGCCGGAGGAGTCCCAGTACCTGCAGTACCTCCAGCAGTCAGGAGTGTTTTCTGCCCACCTCCTCCTGCCCGGCCCCTTCAGAGCAGCTGTGCTGGAGCCCTGCAACCTCCCCCTGCTTGCCCCTGCACCCGCTTCCCCGGGCAGCATTGCCCCGTGGGTCGCTGCATCAGCCCCACATACTCTGGCGCCAGCCACCCACTGCAGTCACCCTGCTGCCATGTGCCCCACGCTGGCAGTGGGACTCATGTCAGGGGCTTCACAGGGCGCTGGGTCTGCCATGATGCACAGGGTCCCTCTGTCTTCCAGGTGTTTGCTGACCTGTTTGACCCCGTGATTCAGGATCGGCACAACGGATACAACCCCCGCACCATGAAGCACGTCACAGACCTGGATGCCACCAAGGTGCATGAGCTGGGCAGTGGTGCTGCACATGGAGGCCCTTCCCTGAGCCTTGGGGGCAGAGCCTCTGCCAGCACCAGTGCCATCCCCTGAGCACCCCACGGCTCCTGTCTGTTCCAGATAAAGTTTGGCCACTTTGATGAGCGCTACGTGCTCTCATCCCGGGTCCGGACTGGGCGCAGCATCCGCGGCCTGAGCCTGCCACCAGCCTGCACCCGTGCTGAGCGGCGAGAGGTGGAGAAGGTGGCTGTGGAGGCACTGAATGGCCTCACCGGGGACCTGGCAGGCCGGTACTACCGTCTCAGCGAGATGACGGAGAAGGAGCAACAGCAGCTCATTGATGTAAGTCGGTGCAGCTGCCAGCCAGCCACCCTGGGTGCCCACGGAGCAGGACCCCCTCCCCAGCGCTGCCTCTCTGGGAGGCCACATCCTCCTTCCTAGCCCCAGTGCGCTGGGGGGCCAGGACCCCTCCCCAGCGAGGCCATCCGTGGTGCAGAGGCTGCTCATGGCGCTGCTCAGCCCTCCTGCTTGCTGAACGCAGCCCCAGCAGCTCACAGCCCCCACCCCAGCTCTTGCCCCATGTCCCTGCCCAGAGGAAGGTGGGTTTGTGGCACACAGTTGGTGCCCCACCAGCCCCTGATACGGGGTGGGCTGTGCACCAGCAGCCTTCAGCCTCCCTGGGCAGGAAGGCAGGGGCTCCTGCCCACGGGTGGGTCGTAGCGTGAGCTTGCCCTGCCTGGAACAGCTGTGGGAGATCACCTGCATGGTGGGCTGGGACCGGTGAGATGGGGCACCCCGGCACCAGTCGTGCAGTCCTGGTGACCCCACGCACTCTGCCTCCCTCCAGGACCACTTCCTCTTCGACAAGCCAGTGTCCCCGCTCCTGACAGCAGCAGGAATGGCCCGGGACTGGCCCGACGCCCGAGGGATCTGGTGAGAGTTTGCCCCAGCATCAGGCAGTCAGCAGGGCAGAAAGGCAGCAGATACTGCTGCTCCATTGGGCTGCCCCAGCCCCCCTCCCCGTGTTGCCCGTGCTCCCCGCACTGCAGACACCCACGCCCCTGGGCCATGTTTGCCCTGGGCTCTGCAGCCTGACCTGGGAGCCCCTTGTGTGCTGCAGTCAGCGGGAAACCATTCCACGCACAAACCCCGGCGTCCTCGTAGCCAGCGCTACCTTGTGCTCCAGGCTGCCAAAAGCCTGTAACTGCCCTCTGCTCCCCAGGCAATCCCCAGCACTCCTCCTGGCTCTCTGCACACTCTGCCTGCCCCCAAACTTACCCTGCCATGATTGCATCTTCCCACTCCCTCCCAGCAGCTCTGCAACACCCCACGCAGCATCCCACGCACTCGCAGCATGACAGCCAGCACCCGCGCTTGCCCACGCCGCCCTCGCTGGCACAGCGCCTCTACAGCAGCCTCCACAGCACGTGCAGTCCTCCTGACCCAGCACCCCAAAACACACCCCACGCCTCACAGCCCCCTCCCGCCGTGCTGCTGCCCCCAGTCCAGGCAGGGTTGCCACCACGCTGCTCCTCCCCTGCAGCGCTGGAGCCAGCACCGCTCGCCTGCAGCACACAGTGGATGAAGACTAGCCCGTCTCCAGGAGCATCCCCTGGCTGGTGGCTTTGCTGCCGGGGTGTGCACTGGCAACCGGCTCCCAGCCATGGCCCTGGGCAGAGCACGTGGGGCAGAAGGTACACGGCCAGGGCAGGCATGTGTGGCTGGGTGGGCACGGAGCCACCAGTGTGGCTGAGCACTGCCCTGTCCCTAGGCACAACAACGAGAAGACTTTCCTGATCTGGATCAATGAGGAAGACCACACGCGCATCATCTCCATGGAGAAGGGCGGCAACATGAAGCGCGTCTTCGAGCGGTTCTGTCGGGGCCTGAAGGAGGTGAGCGCCTGGTAGCCCTGTGGGCAGGCAGATGGGTGGGCAGACAGGCAAGGGCAGGCAGGTGGGGCCAGCCCTCTGTGCTCGGCTGGGGCCAGGGGTGCTGCTGTGCCAAGGGCTGAGCATGTCACAGCTGGGGGCTGAACACTGCCTGTGCCTCTACCCCAGGTGGAGCGGCTAATCCAGGAGCGAGGCTGGGAGTTCATGTGGAACGAGCGCCTGGGCTACATCCTGACCTGCCCCTCCAACCTGGGCACCGGGCTGCGAGCGGGTGTCCACATCAAGCTGCCACTGCTCAGCAAGGTATTAACCATGGCCGGTTTTGTGGGGAATCAGGCCAGGGCTGCAGGGAGCCCCAGCTGCCGGGGCGCAGGGAGCCCAGCCACGTGGGAGGTGTGACCCAGCCCGGGACCTCACTCGAGTTCCCTCAGGAAGTGTAGGGTCCAGCCCCTGCCGGCATCCACAACTGGAGGGGCCGGGGACCCGGGTGTCAGCCTGGGTCTGCTCAGGGCAGAGCTCCCTGCGGGGATTAGGAGCCCACTGGTGGGGTGCTGTGAGTGGCCGGGGGGCTGCCCTGGGGAGCAGCCGGCTGAAGAGCCCTGACTCCCCTGTGATGGTCTCACTGAGTGCTGACACCTCCTCTGGGCACCAGGACAGCCGCTTCCCTAAGATCCTGGAGAACCTCCGGCTGCAGAAGCGTGGGACAGGTGGTGTGGACACTGCAGCTACTGGCAGCGTCTTTGACATCTCCAACCTGGACCGGCTGGGGAAGTCAGAGGTGGGTGCCGGGCAGAGCCACTTTTGGGGAGGGAGGTTCGGAAGCGCATGTGTGTGACCGGCCTGCAGGGTGCTGGGGGCGGCAGCGCCAGTGGGGCCGGCCAGGCGCCTTGCTGCAGCTCCCGGGACAGCCCCCAAGTTGGGACGGTGTGCTCCTGGCACAGGTGGAGCTGGTGCAGCTGGTGATAGATGGTGTGAACTACCTGATCGACTGCGAGCGGCGGCTGGAGAAGGGCCAGGACATCCGCATCCCCTCCCCAGTGCCGCAGTTCCGGCACTGAGCTGGGCCAAGGTAGTGCCAGCCCTGCGGGACTCAGCTCCCCCCACAGCTTACGCCATCTCTGTGCCCAGCATGTCGCTGTGTCCTGTTACCCACCTGGCCAGAACCCATAAACGTGCGCTGCTGTAGCCAGGGCTCGGTCTCCTCTGTACCCTAGCACCCACTGCTCCCCTGCAGAGGCACTCACCAGGATTTGGGTTCCCTGCGCCTGCCCTGAGCAGCCCTCCCAGGGATGTCCCTGAGCTGCCACTGCCCTGGGGAAAGGGCCCGGGGGGCCATTGGGGCTGCCCTGGTCGGGGGGGCTGCAAGGGACTGCATGTGGGTAGGGAGCTGAAGCTGCAGCATCTTGCTGCAGGGGGCCAGGAGCTGCTGGGATGGTCGAGGCCAGGCAGGGAAAGGTGCTCTGGGGCCATGTGTCACTGCAGGCGAGCAGGGAGCAGAGCTCATTGCTTGTGCCCACCACAATTTTATTACTGGGATGCTCACAGAAAGCAGCGGGGCAGGCAGAGGAGCAGAGCCAAGGGGAAGCCATACTGGGGTCTGGCTCTGCTCCTGCCTGCGGGAGAGAAATCACTGTCAGAGCTGAGCGTGGCAGCCCCAGCCCTCCGTGGAGGGGCTCATGTCCCTGCTGCCGCCGGGAGCCCGCACAGTGCTCACACATGTGCACATTCCCAGAGCCACTGTTCCATGTCTGGGTTCAGGGCTGGAGGCAGCAGCAGGGAGGTCTCTCCTGGGCAGGGGCAGGGTGGGAGACAGCCCGAGAGGGAGCATGAGCTGGGCAGGCAGTGGGGCCAACCTCCCCATGGGGCAGCGCAGCCGGCACCAGGGCCAAACCCGCATGACTGGAGCCATCCCGGCATCCCGGGGTGCCCATGCTGAGCCCGAGGTGCAGAGCAGGGACAAGGGGTGACCAGGAGTTGCCAGGGGACAGAGGCCACCCCGCCACTCTCACCTTGGCTGTCCTGGGCAGCCTCTCCCTCACACTGGGCGCTGGCCAGGGCCCGGCGCTGGGCGCTGCCGAGCCACTGGCGCTGCCCCAGGGTGACAGCCGCGGCCTGGGCACTGGAGAGGGTGCGCAGCTGAGCTGGGCCAAACACCACCTGCAGAGAGAGGGCAGCCAGCATGGCAAGGCCCTGCGCCCACTCCCTGGTGCAGCTGGAACACATTCCACCTCCCTGTCTGGTGTGGGGGCTCCCACCATGCTGGCCCAGCCAGGGATCCCCCTTCCTCCACATGCAGAGGAACGGCACCACGTGTGCCCAGATAAGTGTGCAAGGGGGGATGCCAGGAACTCACTGCGAATTTGGGTGCCGGGACAGCAGCGATGGCCCGGGGTGTGAGCGCCCAGAGCTGCTCGGGGACCAGGGCCGAGAGGACAATGTCGGGGAGCCCAGCTGGGGCACAGAGGGCAGGGTCAGGACCCTGTCCCCAGGCACAGGGGCCAGCAGGGTGGGCAGCAGCAACCACAGGGCACAGCCTCATCCCAGACCTCACCTGCCAATGTCCCAACCTCTGCGAAGATTTCAGGTCCCCAGATGTCAGCCGGGCCGAAGGCAGCACTGGAGGTCAAGTGGGCAGCCAGCACCTCCGCCTGCTGCTCCGTGCAGCGCAGGCTCAGTGAGCCCAGGAAAGGGGCAGCTTTACTGTGGGGAGCAGCAGTGTCGGGCGGCCGCATGCCAGGGCGAAGCACTGCCGGCAGTACCTCTGCTCGACAGAGAGCTTGGCCGGTGCTCCCTATGGGCATGCACCCACCTCAGCTCCCAGCTGTCCAGGCCCCACAGCTCGGCTACCGGCAGCCCGCAGAGCAGGTGCCCCAGGGCCACCAGCTCAGGCAGCCCCAGGTCCCGGGCGCTTGCCTCACACTGCCGCAGGAAGGTGGAAACCACAGCCCGCATCTGGGGGAGAGCCTGTCACAGGGGCCAGCCTCCCCCCGATTCCCCGGCCCCCAGGGCCTCACCTGCTCTGGTGACCAGCCGTCCAGCTCCCCCAGCACAGACAAGGCCCCCCAGTCGGGGAGCAGCAGCTCCTGTAGCTCTGGCTCGACCAGCTGGGTGACCAGCCGGCCCAGGAGCAGGGTCTGGGTGGGCTCCAGCGCCCGGGAACTGCCCCACAGCTGCGGCACCAGCAGCACCACCAGCTGCTGGCAGCACCAGCACAGCCCCCCAAGGACAGAACAGCCCCCCAAAGGCAGCACAGCCCCCAAGGACATCACCCCCACTCGAGGCCAGCACAGCCACCCACAGGCAGCCCCCTAAGGCCACCAAAGACCCCAAGGACAACCACCCCCATGGGCAGCCTCCCAAGGCCAGCACAGCCTCCCAGGGACAAGCCCCCAAGGGTAGCACAGTTCCCCACACCCAGCACCTGCCCCCAGGGCCACCCCCACCAGCACACCACCCCGCCATGTCTCCCCCAACCCCATCCACGTCTCCCCTCACCTGCTGGACTTGGCCCAGGACAGCCCGGAGCTGGTTGGGGCGCAGCATGGGGTCCTGGCCCAGCAGCCCCAGGCAGTCCTCCAGCTGGGGGGGGGCCATGGCAGCCAGCTGGGCCGCGCTCCAGGCCGCCGGGAAGGTGGCACGTATGTCAGCACAGCTGGGCACAGGGGCTGCAGAGCTGGCCTGAGCGGCTGGCCCTGGCCCCAGGGTACCCGCACGAGGGGGACACACCAGCCAGGAGGGGACAGGATGGGGACACCAGATGTCAGGGACACAGGGCCAGCCCAGGGAGGGCACAGCATGGGGACACTGGGTACAGGGGACACACCAGCCAGGAGGGGACAGGATGGGGATAGCAGGTGCCAGAGACACAGGGCCAGCCCAAGAAGGGGACAGTGTGGGGACACCAGGCACTGGGGCACAAAGTGAGTGGGCAGGGCATGGCAGGGCACCAGGGACAGGAGCTGCAGGGGTGGGCACAGGGCTAGAGAGGGGAGCGCACCATCTCACCTTGGCCCCTGGGCCCGGCAGCTGCCACGAGCGGGGCCATCAGCACTGCCAGTGGGCTGGGGCCCTCACTCAGGGTGCCTGGGGGGTGGCAGAGGCGTCCCAGCTCGCTCTGCTCCCAGTCCCACTGGCTCTGCAGCAGCTGCTCCACCATGTCTCTGCTCAGCAAGTCCTGGGACAGCACGAGGCGGACGTGGAGAGAGGGGGGTCAAGACAGACCCCATCAGCGGAAAGGCCCAGGGGGAGCAGCAACAACAGCACGTCCACGGGTGGTCATGGGGTGGCAGAGGCACAAGGATGGGGCACTGGCGGGGACAGCAGAGCCACGAGGACGGGACAGCAAAGGGGGTGGCACGGCCATGGGGATGGGCACTGGTGGGGATGTCACAGCTCCAGGACCAGCCGTGGGGCAGCGCAGTGGCAGTGGGACAGGACGCGGTGCTCACCCCGGGGATGGCGTGCAGGCTCTCGAGGGGCAGCAGGAAGATCAGGCGCCCCAGCTGCTGCAGGGTCAGCAGGCTCCAGCTAGGGGGCGGTCTGCAGGGAGGGCATCAGGCTGCTGCTGGCCGGGCCCCCTGCGCCCCTGCCCAGCACCTACCCCAGCGCCCGCTCCGACAGCAGCAGCTGCCCCAGCTGGGCGGCCACCTCCACATCCAGGCAGGTATCCTGCAGGTCCCCCAGCCGCGGCAGCAGGCTCTCAGGCTGGATGTGGGCCACGCTCTCCTGGCCCAGGAACCCCACCAGCGGGCCCAGCTGGTCCAGAACCTCCCCAGCCAGCTCCGTCCCTGCCGGGAGCCGCTGCAGCAGGGGGAGCAGAGTGAGGGCAGGTGGCTGCATCTCCCCGTGCCCCGTGCTGGGCTCCCTGCCCTTACGAGTGAGCGCAGGGCCCCACGGGCCAGCGCTGCCCGGCGGGTGGCAGGCAGGGCTAGCAGGCTGCGTGGCTGACGGGTTGCGTGGTCCAGAACCAGCCTCATCACAGCATCAGGCAGCATCTCCACCAGCTTCGCCCTGCGGGAGCCAGAGCACAGCTGGGCAGAGTGGGGCAAGAGGCTGCTCTGCCCAGGGATGAACAGGGCACTGAGCCCCATCCTGCAGACCCCCTCTCACAGCATTGGTGCCCCTGCACGGGTCCTTCCCTCCCCAGGAGAAGGGGGCAGTGGGAGCAGAAGGGGTGGCCCGCATCCGGCCAGCTTCCCCCAACACCTACGGTAACTCCATGAGGAACCGAGGTCCCAGCCACACCAGCTCCTCCCTGGATAGCACAGGACGCCTCAACACCTCCTCCTGCACACAGCGTCTCTGCGGACACCACACTGAGAGTGCAGGGCAGGGACAGGGGGGCCCTGCCAGCCACAGGGGTCGTGGAGCCTCCCCCTTACCAGGCTGGCAGGGAGGGAACGAGGCTGCGTGTAGAGGGTCCGGAGAGCCCCCAGGAAATCCTCCCGGCCCAGCTCCTGCAGTGCGGTGCAGCTCATGCCTACCACCAGCGAGCCCAGGGCACTGCAGGACAACAGCATTAGACCCTGTCAGGGCTTCACCACCCCCAGCCCCACACAGACCCGCTCAACCCTGCCCCAGGACCCTGCCAAGGCTCCTGCTCCTGCCCAGGGCACCCAGCCCTCTCCCAGCTCCGTTCCCTCTGTGGGGCCCCAGCCATCCCTGTCCCCGTGCCCCAGTCGGTGGCCACGGGCCAGCCCGGTCAGGCAGCTCTCACCCAGCAGTATGGTGGCTGCGGTTAGTTCCGGCTCCCACCTCCCTCCAGAGGAGCTGGGCCTGTTGGGGGGGCAGCGGTGGGAAGCACGGGGTGAGGGGCAGCGCCTTCCCCCACAGCCCCGTGCCCACCCTCTGACCTGCTGCGGGGACCAGGGCAGGTTCCGGTCCCACAGAGCCCCCCACAGAGCCTGGGCACTGGGACGCAGGAGCTGCAGGGGCAGCAGGGGCAGCAGGCAGCGGGGCCAGCCATCCGGGCGCTGCAGAGCCTGCAGCAGGGACGCCGTCTGAGCTGCAGACAGCAGCGGCAGGGCCGGACCCAGGCACGCGCAGCCCTGGGCCTGGAGAGGGGCCAGGACGGCTGCCAGCGATGCGGGCCCCAGGCCCGGCAGCAGTGGACACAGCCTGGCCGCTTCCCCCACCGACACCTGCAGAGAAACACACCGGCCTCGCTCGGGCTCCTCCACCCCACCTCAGCTTGGGCAGGCGTGTGGGGCAAGAGCTGGGGCTGTGCTCGGGCACCAGAGCACAGCACCCACAGCCTGTCCTCCTCGTGCAAAGGCACCTCAGACACTCACGTTGTCCCTCCAGACAGCCCATGTGAGCAGGAAGGATGCCTGGGGGCAGACGAGGCGGCGGTGGTCAGCAGGGTCAGCACAGCCCTGGCGAGGCTGAGGCTCAGGGACTGCCCGGCTGCACCACGGAGCCAGGCTGGACTCACCTGGGCACGCGTCAGCTGCGTTGGCCGCAGCCGGGGCAGGAGGGCCTTCAGCTGGGCCACTGACAGGCACTCCAGGAAGCCCACTCCCATCTCGGGGAGGACGCCCCTCCATGCCAGCAGCTCCCCGGGGCTCACTGTGGCCAGGCTGGTGGAGCGCAGCAACCCTGCCAGGGCAAGCATGACCTGCCGGCGTGGGACAGGAGGGGCCCTGAGCCCAGGGCTGGCAGGCAGTTGGCCCCATCCCCTGTCACAGGAGGAGCCATAGGGCAAAAATGGAGCTGGGGCAGGTGCCCTGATGTGCTGCCTGACCCGGAGCTGCTGCCCTAGCTCCCCTACTCATGCTGGCACATTGTGGCCAGGCTCCCCCAAGATCAAGGGGACAGGAGCCAAGCTCTGTCCACAAGGTGACCCTGGGGAGGCCTGGCACAGCTTCCCCATGCCCCCCAAGGACCTGCTCACCCGCCCATGCTGCCGCAGGGTCCCTGCGGCGGCACATGCCAGCAGGCTCTGCTCCACCGCACCCCGGGGGTCCCGCAGCCACGCCAGGTCCTGCAGCTCCTCAGGGCTCAGGAAGCAGGCGAGGGCCCCCAGCCTGCACAGAAAAAGCCTGTTGGCAAGCAAGGGCAGCCCCACCTGCACCCATTCCAGCTCCGCTCACACCAAGACCACGGCCCTCACACTGGGACCAGGGCCCCACACCAGCCTAGCATGGGGCATGGCTGTGCTGGCACCGGCAGCCCCCCCTCACGCTCACCTGTGCCCTGGCTCGGGGCCAGCTGCACGGCTCCAGTTGGCCAGGCTGCTGGCAACGTGGCGGCCCTGCACCAGCCCCAGGTGGAGCAGCTGCCAGGCGTCCCCCAGCCCCCAGACCTGGGCAGGCAAGAGGGGAGACACAGCTCCAGCCTCCTTCCCAGAGACGGAGCGCCCAGCCCAGGCTGGGGGTTCTGCGAGCAGGGCCAAGGGCGGGCGGGCAGGGGTCCCAGCCAGGGGGGTGCAGGACCAGAGGTGCAGGGTGGGATGCCCACCCCAGGGCACAGGGATCCCCACCCGCTGTGGGCAGAGCAGGGCTGCAGGGGTGGGATCTCCGCCTGCCATGGGGTGCGGGTGCACTGGCTGGGCAGAGCAGCCTGTGCTGGGGCCGGGGCTGGCATCCCACCTGCTGGGGCGTGAGCTGCAGGAAGCAGGGCAGCGGCAAGTGGGGCAGCAGCGGCAGGACGGTGCGGAGGAAGCCCAGGGGCCACGTGGGCACAGCCCCAAGGGAGGGGGCCTGCAGCAGGCGCCTGGCAAAGGCGGCCTTCTGCCCCGGCACCAGGCGGGCGCTGTGAGTCCGCAGGGCGGCGAGGCTGCGGGGCAGAGCGACGGGCACAGCTGAGGAGACACCGCCCAGGCCCGAGACCGCCTCAGCAGGCACCCCAGAGACCCCCACCAAGCATGTGCCCTGCAGATCCCAGGACCTGGGGGCACTTGGAGGCCTCCTGCATGGCTACAGCATGGCCTGCTCAGGCTGGGGTCTGTAGGGGACGTGGCAACACGGGGCCAGGGCTCTGCAGGCGATGGCAGTGCAGGCCACAGGCTGGAGCTGGCCATACCACGCATGCTGGCAACCCAGGCACCCAGCATGGCTTACACACTCTCGTTGGCCAGGAGGGCCGGTGGGAGCCTCGCGATATCAGACACGGCCATGAAAGGGATGAACTGCGACAGGCTGACAAACAGCTCGGGTGTGAGATGGGGCAATCTGCGGAGCAGCAGCATGGCCAGGGACTGCAGAGCCTCCTCCCCAGACACAGGTGACAGCACCTGCAAAGCTGTGTGAGCCCCAGCTCCGGCAGGACACAGCCCCAAGTGACCTGCACAGGCCCAGGGCCGCCCAGCTGGGCCCCAGGAGAGCATGCACAGGGACTGCCCCCCTGCACCTTGGTTCTGCACCCACACCTCCCGTGCATGGGCTCTGCACCCCCCCACACGTGGGAGTTCTGAACTTCAGCCAGCACTAGCTCTGCCCCTGCCCTGTGCAGGGTCTGTGCCCCCAACATGTTGGCCATACCCCCCACATGCTGTGCATCCCCCAGACATGGGCTCTTCCCCCACCACACAGGCCCTGCATGTCCTGCCCCAGCCTGGCCCCTCCGACCACCTCCCCGCGCAGCCGGAGCCCAGCGTGGTGCAGCAGGGTCAGGAAGCGCTGGACAGCCTCGGTCCCTGCTGCCAGCAGCATCCCCTCGAAGCTCTCCTCTGGCATCTGCAGGTACTCCTGCGGGGAGGCCGCACCTCAGTGCCGCTGGCAGCAGGAGCCCACTGCATGGGGGCAGGCAGACCCTCCGCTCCACAGGATCCTGGGTGGGCTGGGAGCAAGCCTGGCCGGCCGGGCAGTACCTGCACCAGGATCTCCATGGCGAGAGCACCCTTGCTGTCCTGGAGCAGGTCCCAGAGCACAGCCTGAAGGAGAAAGCAGGGCTCGCTCCTTGTCCCAGCCCAGAGCTTCCCCCAGAGCTCCTCACCCAGTGCCCCATGGGGCAGCCTGGTTGCCAAGAAGCTGATCCAGAGACAAGGGGGGTGGCCTTGCCTCGAGCCGCAGCCCTGACCCCCAACCCAGGACTGGCTGTTCCCAGCTGAGCAGAGCACAAGTGCTAGTCCCTTTCCCACCCAGGCTGCAACTGGACAGAGACCCTGGGACTGAAGCCCATGACCTGTCCAGACCTCGCAGCCAGCAGGAGAGCTCCCCATGTCTGGCACCCTGACCCCACACCCAGGGGCACCCTCGCTCATCACCCCAGCACTGCCCAACTCACGCTAAAGCAGCTCAGCAGCTCCCACTTGGCCGAGGCCCTGGGCTCCCATCCCAGGTACCGGCCCACAGCTCGCAGGATGCCTGCAGATGCGTTTGCCCTGAGCAAGGCCCAGAAGGAGGTGTTGTCCAGGAGGCTAGAGAGGAGGATGGCCTCGCTGAGCTGCTCCCCGGCTGCCTGCCCAGCCTCCTCACGTCCGGAGAGGGCCAGACTACGGTCAAGCAGGCGCAGGAGGTAGTTCACATGGGGGGCCCAGCCCAGAGCCTCCTCCTGGCACTGCAGGAGCTGTGAGGCCAGTCCCAGCAGGTAAGCAGCAGGGTCTGGGCAGAGATCCGCAGCATCCAGCCTGGGGGACAAAGGCAGGAGCGCCAGGAGCTGCTGCAGCAGGCAGCGTCCTTGGGGCAGGGTTCCCGGGCAGCGCAGCCCGACCAGGGGCCGGGGGTGCCCCATCAGCGGCGGGAGGGAGGCGTTGGTGCACGCCGGCTCTGGGAAGCAGCCGGGACGCACAGTCCCACACAGCTCCAAGAAGCCGGCATTCCCCCGTGGCCCCTGGCCCCGGCCCC